ATTACCAACAACACTTAAAATATACCTTATTATTAGTTTTTGTGATTTATCTGTATACATTCTCATTTTACTCTTTAAAACAACCAAAATTTGCTCCTAAAAATCTATTTTCTTTGTCCGTCTGATGACATTATTTTAAAATACAATGTCAGATGTTATGAGTTACTCAGTACTCAAGTAGCCTTTTTACCAAATACTTGAGTAATGTCTTGGACGGCTAATTTTTAGGGCTGTGCAGAAAAAAAATGATATATACTATATATCATGTATTGATATTTAAATTTTTTTGTATATAAATTGTATCAATTTTTTACTTGATTCCACACACACCTTTAGGGGGCAGTATAACGATGCATAATTCATGTTCAGAGCAAAGAACAAAAAGCTGCAAGTGAAACTGATGAGTATGGAAGTGCCTTCATCCTTAAGAGGAGACGTTTGGACACATTTTAGTTTTTATAATTATACATATATAATATAATATAATTTTATATTATGTTGCTGGTTTTGTTGAGTCATTGGCATTGAAAAATAAGTATAAAGTAAAATGCATTGAAATCGAATCAATTCAAGCCGCTTTGAATCAAGAACCGTAATGTATCGTGAGCTCTGTATYGAAAATYRTATCGACTTACCATGTCCTAGGTAATACCCAGCCTTAGCTARTAAAAATATGTTGAAGAAGTGCCACTTTTACCTGAGTACAACATTTAAGTACTCTACCCACCTCTGTGATTTTAGGATTGTGATTCAAAATGTGGACGACAGAAAGAAGACTATTTGGTAACCATGAATGTTTTGTGCCGGGGACTCTGTTCTCCCTGAGGAACCAAAGGGAGTCTCTCCGCCTGTGCTGTTTCTCCTCGTAGATCCAAAACTAACATTTGCCTTATTCTGCTTCTCTATYTCACTTCCAGGTAACCAAAGATGATTTCATGAGCTTTGACTATATTCTTTGCATGGATGAGAGCAATTTGAGGTATATATTTTATRTATTTATTTATTTTTTCTGAGTTTTGATCACACTGAACTTGTTTGCACTGAAACCACACAATGACATGGTTTAAATTAAGTGTCAAATTTTGTTACCGTTAGTTGTTCCGGATCAGGAAAACGATCCGTGGCATTCATACACACTTGTATAAAACTGGTGGAAACTTTGAGCTAWGAGTAACTTGTTGATGAATGCCTTCCCTTTTAATGAGCACTATCCTTTCTTAAGCTCTTTCCAAAGGTCATGGGGAGGGATATTTTTTGCTACTTTGAACGTTTAGGGATCATTTTGAGATCACATGCTTGTGGCAGATCTGATCTGTAAGCAGCTTACTGAGTTCTTTGAATGCCTTGTCTTTTTTTCCCTTCATTCTCCTCCAACATACTTTTTACCAGACAGAAAGACTTTATTTATTATTTGACTTCTTGTTGTTTTTGCTTGTTTTTTTTACTTGCAGACATTTGTGTTGTTTTAAATGACTTTATGCAAATATTTGATTTTTTATGCTAAGAATAAAATAATCATAAATCACATTCACACCTGTAATATGTTATAAAAGGTGTGTTTAGAAGTCAAGATATGACTTTATGATTTATATCCACTCGGCACACTCAACAACACCAAATAAGATTCTGATACAGATCTGGAGGTCACATGCTAAAATATGTTGTAATGTTGTTTCCTGCACTGACCCTCTGGTCTTGTATATTTTGTTTGGTCTTCACAGTGACTTGAAAAGGAAGGCAAATGCTGTGAAAAACCGAAAAGCAAAAATTGAGCTTCTTGGTTCCTATGACCCTCAGAAGCAGCTGATCATCAACGACCCTTATTACGTAAGTATTTAGGTTAATTCACATTTATTATTTTGTAGCTGAAGGACTGTCCACTGGTTACTGTCAAAGTTACCTGCGTTACCACTCCAAATACTACATAAACAACTACAAAATTGATTTTATTTGGTAGTACCAGGGGTGTCCCAATACCAGTTTTTCTCAGAGTACTTCAGTTTGGGTACTCACCAATACCAAGTACTTTCTGTTAGAAACGTAAACATTACACRATGACTTTACTGGAATTAAAAATGCTTTTCATTTGAAATTTAAACTTTAACATTTAATTGAGTATTGGCACCGATACCACTGGTTTTACTGTGAGCTTTCAGTGTTTTTGAAAATTAAGACACGAGTTACACTGTAACCTTTATCATTCCAAGTTCAACCACAGGTTAAATTAATTTCAATAAGAAAACAAACTTCTTTAACGTCTGYGATGAACTCGAGAGCTGTCCAGGTGTTTCCTGCCTCCAGTAACCACTGGAGACCTGCATCAGCTGTTCCTGACCCCACACAAGGTTAGGAGGGTCTAGAAAAATGGATCGAAKACGTCTTTATTTGATAAAAACAATGATGAGTTTATATTATTATCACCATTTACTTTAATTATAGCACAAAGACACATATCAGTTAAAAAATATGACACATTTAAATTTTTAAAAACAGACTCAAATGTTATTTGGTACAAAATTTAGAACAACAATGTAGTAACTAAATGAGGTGTGGAATATGTTCAAAAACAGCTGAGTTTGATTTGGGACARGTTAGGAGCATGTGTGGGTGTGAAAGAAAAACCTTTTAGAAAATCAAAGTCTTTTTAAARTAAAGACCGGAAATCTCGTGCAATGTTGTCTAGATTGTCCAATCAGAGCCAGGTATTRTGTAGTTGGTGCTTTTAATCAGTTTTCAGTTCAATTAATTCAATCCAAGTCTATGGAACAGTCACAAAATGTCACCAAAATCACTCTGTCCCTCTAAAATCGTTCAGAAAATTGAATCGTATCGTTCATTGAATATCGTGATATATATCGTATCGTGAGCAGAATTTCGAATATCGTRTCGTGAGATTAGTGTATCGCTACAGCCCTAGTGGTCATGGTCTGTTTGAGAAGAGTCAAATCATTGGCTAACCAGAAAAAAAGGGTTCACTTTGCTAGAGAGCATAACGATTGGATTCTGGAACAATTGAAGAAGGTCATGTGGTCTGATGAGTCCAGATTGACTGGCTCCACAGAGTCCATTGAGAATCTTTGGGATGTGCTGGAGAAGGTCAGACTCYACCATCATCAGTGAAAGRTCTTGGTGAAAAATGAATACATCACTGGATTGATCCGACGTCCTATAAAACAAGACAWTGACCTTTCCAGGTGTTTATTCTCTAAGTGCATCTCGTGTTTATTAAGTATTTATTTAAGTTCATTTYAAAAATTACCCCAAACCCAACTAGTGTTTCAGTTGTTCTGAATTCTTTTTAAAGATGTGATGTTCTTTACATCACACCTTCCACATTTTGTTTACTTGTGTCTAATAGGGTTTAGCCAAGGTAGTTGGAAAATCAGCAGATCTCTTCTCTTCCCCTCAGATCTTGTGGGTAAAATAATAAAATCAGAGGAAAAGTTAAATAAAATAATTGACAACAATAAAAGGCGTTGTCCAATCTTTTTTCCAGTAGTTTCACTGCTCTTTAAAACACTGCATTCTGTGTTGTAAAATGTTTTAAAGATGATAAACAACAGGAACCTGTGGACAACACAGTCAGCTTCAGTTGATGGTTGGGGGTTGAGTCAGTCTTCAGGTGCTTCTGGTATTTGTAGAAAAAAAAAATCACTGTTGCCTCTTTTCATCRCACAGTTCATTCAGTAAACGGCTTTAATACCCATCAGTGTAGCAACAACAACAAAAAGATTTGTTACAAGCTTCAAAACATTTGTTGGACAACATTTCCATTCCTGTGTGCAGCCAGGGCCTCATTTTAACAGAGCTGTATTACTTGGACATCAACACGAGTAATTCTTGTTTGGATTTTCTGATTGGATTGTCTTTTCACGCTGCATGGCTCACTCCATTCGTTTCGTCTTTACATGCTCTGTCTGCGGTGGAAAATGCTTCCAGATGATTAGAACAATGGTTYTTGGCTGCATTTTATTATTCTTAAGGGCTGTGATTGTTGGGTGGAAAATAACTGGATTTGGGAAAATCACTGAGAGAAGGCTTCAAAGTTTCAATAGCACATCGGGGTCGTTTACGTTTTTAAAATGTTTTTAGAAAATATTTGGTCAAAGTATTCATTACACTGWATGGTTTGGATGATAGATATGTGTCTTTTCTTTCTGTTCCTGCTTTTTGTTTTCCTGCTCTGTTACATGCGTTGGAAACCAGGTCCCAAATAAAACCGTCATCACACCATAAGAGATGTGGCTGAAAGCAGAAAWTATGGTCTGTCAGTTTTATAGAAGTGCTGACAGTTGTATTAGWTTCTTGTTTCCGTGTGTGATTATTAGCTTAATAGTGTTTTTGTGCAGCTCTGCATAAGAGCTTCTGATAATGTGTGCGGTTTTGGACAGAATATTTACCAGTTCTGGGTTCCTTCTCCAGAAAAGTGAGCAAAAATCTGTTCAGCCACCACAGTTGCTGTCAAAATGAATCGAAACATACATGTCTTGTTTCTTCAAGCAGCTCATTACAAACTGGAACATCAAATGCATCATTTTCATTCTTTTGGCTTTTCTTGTTTTTTACCAAAAGAGAGACGTTGACTGAACCTAAATGGACTCTTAAAACAAAAATTGTTTACAGGATTTGATCATTTTTATGACTSTAAAATTATCTTAATTTTTTCTAATTCTGCGTACAAATTTTATTGGCTTCACTTATATTGCATCAGCACCCTCGTGATAAGGTTGTATGTCTCACTGGTCTGCGATTATTTGAAACTATCTCATAACCCTATAATTGCAAGAAAATAAGTTAATGTTCCGTTGCAGTATCATTGAATTTTGAGATTTTGCAACCAGTTTTTTGAGAATTGTGACCTTGTTTTGTGAGCAAAGCTATATTTTAGGCCACGTCCCTTACACCACTAACCACGTCCTACTCATGTTAGCCAACATTTTACCCACACTATGAGTTAATTTATTGGAATATACTTTAAAATGAAGCTAAGCAGATTTGAACCAGCTTTTATGAACTAATATTTATCATCAATTTGTTTTTTTGACCTGGATATTCTGGTGTTGTCTGTTGGAGCAGAGCAGGTGTTAAAATTGAGCTCTTATGCTCTAAAAATCATACATAAATAGATTCAATTGGGCTGGTTATCATGGCCTATCCTCTGAATCGATTAATTAGGATTTAATTTGATTCGATTCGATGAAAATGTTTACTGATACTGTATTTTGCAAATGTGTTGCAAAATACAATATCCCCATTTTTTCTCTTCAACATAAACAACAGGTTTTTAAGGACAAACTTTTAAACAAAACTGTTCTTGAAAGAAAACTGTCACAAGTTTAAAAGGTTTTAAAGTAAAAAGGAATTGCAGGTGACAATGTTGTTGGAGGCATTCATTTTAAAGTAATTAATAATTATTTTGATAAATAAGAAGTGATGGGAATAAGGCTGCAGGAGAAGAGGTGGGCTAATATAAATATACTTTTGTCCACTCCTTTTGAGCGTATGAAAACTGTGTATTTCTAATGTTTATGTTACATTCTGTTATGTTCAATAAAAATTATTAAAACTTAATACATATAACTTATTAAAACGATACAATTACAAAATTTCTTCACTGTGGATTTCATTAAGACATTTCTTAAAGTTTAAAATGAATAATATTGGTTACAAAACTAAAAGATTTTGTTAGAATGTCGTCTTTAACACATTTAAACATGCCGGTGGGGAACAGTTTCAGTCAGATGTTTACCATAGTTTGGTTTGAGCGCCTAATAAGCCGCTGTCAAACCCCGCTTCGTTTTTGCTACTGCGTACGAGCGCAAATCTTTGCAAAGAAAAGTCACCATGGTCTCTGTTGTCTTTAAGTTCTGCGGAGAGTCAGCTGGTAACGTTAGTGATTCCTTAGTTTCTTTTGTTCTCATCCAGACAACTTGTTACCGAAAGCTAATGTTAGCACTGAACGTCAACCGGATGTAAATATACGGCAAGCCAGGAGTGACAAAATATAGAATAATCTAACCTAGCCCTGCAAGACATCCACGAGAAAAGCAGCAAAAGCTACAAACCTTTGTGACTGGTGCAAGGAAATTTCAAATACCATAAGTGTCTGGAGACATTTTGAAAAATCCTTCAGGAATTCTGTTCAAGATACTGATATGAGACACTGCCTTTAGAATTTGGACTCAAGCATGTTGACAAATGTTCAATTTATTTTTCAACTATTTTAAAATCTTGCCGTGTGAACCAGGCTTTAGTGAGAAATCTGAGCAACTGCTTACATAAAGATTTATTCTTACATCACCGTGATTTCATCTTAACCTCTTGTGTCTCAGGGGGATTTCTTGAAGTTTGTTCTCAAAATAACATGTCCAAATAATTGATTTATAACATACACAAAGCTTAAAAAAAATATCATGAATAAGGCAAAAAAAAAAAAAAAAACTAACGCAAAGCATAAACCCATTTGTATAAAAAATAGTAATAATACAAGTATAAGGGTTTGGGGCTTAAAAGGTTAAATAACTTACATGGATATTTTGCAGCAGAATACAATAAAGAAATTATAATTACAGTTGTTCAATTTGTAGAAAAGTAAGGAATTTTTATCCCCAATAAACATTATTATTACCACAGTTTTAGTTGTGGGATTGTTTCCATAACTGAATAGAAAACTGTGAACTACGTAGACTGTTTAGTTTATACTCTCAGATTTTCATGTCTGACCTAATTGACCAAAAAAAAACAAAAAACAAAACAACTCATTGGAGTGACCAAGTGTGAAGGAAACTGAGAAATTTGGTGCCAGTAAAACCCTCTGAAACCTCAAGTTGTTAATAAAACATGCTAAATAAATTTATGTTGCGTTTTACAATAATTTCCAGCTTTTCTTGAAGTGGTGTTGATATGTTAATAAAAGTTGTTCCAACAGGTGAAAAAAAAAATAGTCTGAGGCAAAACCACAAGAAACTGGAAAGTCCCGGATTTTAAAAGTTTTGAAGCTTCTTTTGGCATCAAACAGCTCCCTGACACAAAAGGAATGTGACTAAATTGGAGTGAGGATTTCGGCTCTCAGAAGTGTTTTGGCACCACCTTTGATGCATTTTGGAATTCGGAAATGAAAAAATGATTTTACAGTTGAGTAGGGGGTTCGTAATCTGTGTATCATTCATTCCTTTTATTTTCAATTACCAATCAAAAATCAAATAATGAAACATTGACTAGTTATTTATTTATTTTTTGTAACACCAAAACCGGGTAAAAAATAAAAAACAAAAATAACCTGATTTTTCATATTTCACTTTTAGGCTCAGATCAAAAACACAAAATGGAAAAAATGGGCACTTGGACAATCTGTATCTGTGTCACTCRTTTAAAAACAGATATTTGAAAATGGATGGTTATTCTATTTTCATTTTATACTTAAAAACGTAAATGGTCTTTATCAAACTAAGGTGGAGCTAGATAAATAACTTTAGTAACAGGCAGCTGCTTGTAAATAAATAAATAAACACTTGCTAACTACTTTTGTATTTCTTTAAATAACTAACTTCAGACTGTGCTTTTTAAATTAATATAATTAGTGTAGCTAATTTCTGTTAAAAACTCTTTCTCTAGCACCACTTTAATGGTCTGATATCGGGATGAACACGTTCTAATTAACCAGACAGCTGCAATAAATAAATACTAGCTAACTAGTTTTGACATTTCTTTACCAGGTGCGAATTTGAAGCTGCAGCATTGAGTTGCATTGATAACCGTGCTAAAATTTTCGGTTAAACAAACAAAAGGACAGATCGTTTTTATGTTTTTGGAGTTTAAAATGAAAAAACAAAACAACAAAAAAAACGAATTATCTGTTTTTCATTTTTCAATATTTGTTTTTGAAATGAATAAATAAAAAAGCAAAACCTACACTGACCAGTAGGTTATTAGTAGATTATACTTCATTTGGCTACAGCCTTTATTAATTTTGTTTTTTTTTTTCTCTTAGGGAAGTGACCAAGACTTCGAAAAGGTGTACGAACAGTGTCTCCGCTGCTGCAAAGCTTTTCTAGAGATGAATTCCTAACAAGTTCCTATCATGAAGCACCTTTCCTCAATCTGATTGGGAATTATCAGCCTAATGTGATTTGGTTGTGACACGCACGCACACACACTTTAGTTCATTTAATGAGCTTGTGAATTCTTGGTTTTGGGGTTGTAAATGTTATACAACGACATTCAGAGTGCGGTATCTGCATGAATGTAGACTAAAAACCTGGAAAATTAATAAATTAAAGTAAATTTTAAAATGGTGGCTACATTTGCAGATTTTCTGAATCATTTACTGCAAAAATAATCTGTAAGTATTTCAGCTTTAAACTTTTAAAAAGTTAAATTTATTTATATAGAGCCAATTCAAAACAAAAGTAATCTCAGGACTCTGTCTGGAAACATCTACATACATTATAAAATTCCAATTAGAAAAATTATTAGGGATGCATGATATATCTGCATTAATATCGGTATCGGCTGATATTGGTCATTTTTTAGAATATTTATCAGTCCAATGTGTAAAACTGGGCCGATATATTGATTTTCCACTTTTAATTTTGTGTTTCTGGTTTGGGAGGGGAGATATCAAAATCGGCTGCAGTTTTCGTATCGGTGCATCCCTAAAAATCATTTATCTTTGGCAGCACAATGTCTTGAGGGTTAGTACCGATGCCTCACAGCAAGAAGGTCCTGGGTTCGATCCCTGGTTCAAACCTGGGGTCTTTCTATGTGGAGTTTGCATGTTCCCCTAGTGCTTGCGTGGGTTTTCTCCCACACCCCTAAAAACATGTACAATAGGCCGTCTTCAGGCCCAGGCCTCCCTTGAAAAAAGATCTGCGATCTCAACCGGATTTGCCTGTTTAAATAACGGTAAAATAAAAATAAATCTACAGAAAGAGCTGAAAATATCTAAAAAAAAGTAGCTTGAAAAAGCTGAAATTTGCACAACAATGCAAAAACAACACATTTATGCTGATATAATAAGATAAGATAGACCTTTATTGTCATCGTACAGAGCACAATGAAATTACAGTTCAGAACACCCATTCAGAAGAAGACAAAACATAACAAACATGGGAGAACAGGTGCTCTGGATCAKGCTGCCACTGACCCTGCACAGAGCAAGGATCATCATCATGAAGACGTCATGAGGAGGCACAACCCTTAAAAGAAAAAAACTAAAAACCACACAAGAGAAGAAGAGGAAAAAAATAAAACATATTATATCAACAATGTGACACACTATGGTGTTTATTAAAAAAACTCTGCATAGAGCAGATTTATTAGCCAGAGGAGTAAGTGAGTTTAGGAGGGTGTGTATCTGAAGCCATGGGTGTTGTATGCATTTGTGTGAATATTTAATAAATGAGCCCGAAGAATCGAGTCCCCAAAACCCGCGCAGCCATAGTCCAGAATGTTGATGGTGACTGTTCATTCTGTGCGGCCCTCAGCTTGCTCCAGGAACCAGATCACAGACGGGGGGGGGCAGACCCTCAGTCGACGTATACATCCAGGAAGAATTTAGTCCACAGCTCTCAATGCCATGTAAGGAAGAGCCAAATTCTGTAATCAGTTGTTTGGGAACAGAAGCGAATGTTTTGAGCCAGGCGGACAATCACAATTTTCCATCTGCCTTRAYGTCCGCTGGTACCTCTCAATGTGGCGAATCCAATCAGACAAATAGTGTGGACAAATTCCGCCTTCTAATAAGTAAGAAGCGGAAATTATTGCAAAAAGGTGAAGTTGTTTTAAAAAAGCTAAAATTGAAATCAGCTAGRAAGTAGCTTAAATGGCAGAAAACAGCTTAAATTAGCATAAAAGAAAGAAACACAAAAGGTTGAAATTAGCAGAAAGGAGCAGAAAGWTAGCTGAAATAGAATAAATCTRCAACTTGCACWCAAAAAAGAAGCCAAACGAAGCTGACATTAGCTCAGAGGTAGAACCAGAGTAAAGGGTAAAAAGTGCAGTAAAAACAAACATTTTGAATRGTATTAAGGTTGTTGAAGACAGATCCATTCATTTKCAATGAGAAAAAAAGTGTCCAAAATAACAAAGAAAGTATAAGTTGCTGAAAGTCACAACACCCACAGCATAAATGATCTGAACGTTTTGTATGAGATCTTGAAATAGCACAAAAACTGTGAAATGTGTTGCGTGCTGAAAAATGTACTGAAGAAAATTGGATAATCTCTAATTATTGTAAATGTTGCAGATAGCTCTTTGAATGACTTTAGTTTGGAGAAACAGAACCTTTATCTGAATAAACTCCTGAGGTAACAGCTAGTCCAAGCAGCACATTAAGAAGCTATTAGCTCAGCGGTGGCAGTGTGAAAAAGCAATAGTCCAGCTGAGCATCTTGTAAATAAATCTGTTTTAACAGGTGCTTATACAGCTGATCGTTAAACATGATTTTCACAATACAGTTTTGTTTATAACCATAGCTTTTATCTGGGTGTTTTATGTGTAAGTCTTTTAATAATCCCCCAAAAAGCAGATTATTTAGTTTGTTTTTCCTGATCCAGTGGTTTATCGATAAAATATTCTGCTTCGTGCCAGTCACCACTTGTTTCAGAAGTAGTGTTTACTCCCTGGAGACTGGCTTTCCCATCAGTCAGTCCGTGTTAATTTGTCTCATCGCTGGTAGAGGTATGGTTTCATCACATTTGGAGATGGGAAAGTTGCTGTAAATCATCAAACAAGGGTGGAGCTGACAGAAAGATGAACCAGCTGGTAGCTGGAGGGTTTCCACTTGATGAAGAATGTGGTTTCAAGGCTGTCGGAGTTGTCTGTGAGTTTGTCAAAGTACATATTAGCTTAGCTGAGCTGTTTGTACTTAAAATACAGTAGGGGGAACAAAAAGAGTGCCTGGTCCGGGTCATTCAGAGTGGAAATAACCTGACAGGTCTTAATGATTCAGATTCTGACTCTGAAAACCCGCTCAGAACCAAAGCAACAAATTCTGCAAGGCTCCCTTAGGTGTTTTATGTTCATAATAGATTTTTTCAGTGCGGGCATATTTTGTTCATAGTTTTTTCTGCTGACAGCATTTTATGAAGCTTAAACAGAGTTTCCAAGGAGGCACTGTTAATATTGAAAACAAACCCTTCCCCTCCATTGTTTTTCTAAAATTTACTGCACTTTTAGCTCTAGTTGTTTTTAGGCCCTTTTACTGTATCTAAACACATCATTTAACTTTCTACTTCATTACATTTAACAGTTWAACAACACATGGTTTAAAGTGGAAGTCAGTGCTCCTGTTTTTGGTATTTGACATCTTTTAAAGAAAAAAAAAGAGTTTTTAAGGTTCAATATAAACTAGTTCTGCAGCTACGCAGCCAGGAAAGAAAAAGTAGAAATAAATAAAAAAATAGTGGATTTCTGCTGTGTTCATCACTGAAAGTTAAATGCGGTTCATGTAAACGTGAATTTATGAGTGATTACACCGCTGTGTTTATTCCATTACATGGTTATTAGGCACAGCAGCAACCAGTCGGAGCACTCTGGCACTCCTTGCTGGAATATTGTAATATTTCTACTGAAAAGATGGTGTAGTGTAAAACTAAAACTGGTAATCATTCCAGTCGACTTCCTGGTAGAGCTGTTGCCTTTTAGCAAGAAGGTTGCTGGACCAAATCCCGGCTAGTGACCTTTTACATGTTCTCTCCTTGCATACGTGGGTTTTCTCTGRGCACTCCGGTTTTCATCCCACAGACCAAAAACAARCACGTTAGACTAATTGGTAACTAAATTGTCCCTAYGTGTGAGTGAGAGAGTGAGTGGTTTGTCTCGTTTGTCTCTGTGTGACCCTGTGATGGACCTGCGACCCTTCCAGGGTGTACCCCACCCTTTGCACAKTGATTGCTGGTTATGGGCACCAGTGACCCTGAAAGGAATAAGCGGGTATAGAAAATGTATGTGTAATAAAATTAAGTGTTCATTAACTGAAATCGWGACGAAACCACATAAATAGTGAATAGATTAAAATGTGAACAGAATAGGACCGTACAACCCCAGATCTGGTYACRAGCRTGCTTTATTTCTCCCTGCTGGAGTCAGCTAAAGCAGCGCTGCCAACAAACCGGAAGTTCCGGTCTTTTATACACGGTTCTTCAGTGCCTGGTGCGCCCACTACAGGCCTACAGCTGCAACGCAGGCCACTCGAACAAACATTGCCTTCCCTAATGAATTGATAAYGGTTTTYCTATGTGTTGTTGGTGGTTCGGGCACATATCTAAACTATTTTAATCAAGACATAACAATCATCAAACAATAGATCAYAAAACTCAATACTTAAAAAGGAAACTAAGAAAATGGTGTAGTGCTTTTAACACCAGTATCTAACCGATAAATTTCTTCAGATGGATGGATGGATGAACCCACGATCCAGAAACTAATAATTAGGTTAAGATAATTGGTCGATGGCTTCCTGTGGGCCACTATGAAATTATGGAGCTTGGAGTTGTTTTGGTCCTTCATGGACCTGACAAACTAATAGTAACTGGTTCAGGCTACTTCCAAAGTGGATTTTTGTCTCCTTTAAACAACTCCAGCCTCCAAWATGTCATAGTGTTCCGTGCAAATGCTATTTTATATATTTCTAGAGTGCTCTCTGTTTCAAATTAGACAATTATTCTGACTGAACCATCAGTTGGAAGTCCTGGTAGTGCTATTTTCCCTTTCAAATGAACATAGTGGTCATGGTATTAATGTTTTTTAAAGAACATTTGCATGAATGGCTATAGATTTTTGGAAGATGGGGTGTTTTAAAAGACTATCAGAGGTACAGCACAAGTTGACTGACTTGAAGAGAAAGTTAGAAGCCAGACTGCAGTGGCTTGGTCATGTCTTGAGGAGAGACAGTGGGTATATTGATACAAGGATTACTAGGAAGGAAATTTAAAAAATTGGGAAAAAAAAAAACTTAAATTTTGCTAAAAAGTTTTTACGTTTTTTCTGAAAAAAAAGTTAATGCGCAAAAGAGGAGATGGAAACACATTTGCCGAATAAGTTCTTATGCTTACTTCATGATTTATCAGCTTTTCCCACTGTCTGAAGCTTCTCTGATAGTCCCATAAAGCACAAAAACATGGCCGGCAGCAACAACAGGCACGTGTGGACTGACACGCACTGCTAACACTAGCTGATATGATCGAACAATTATAACTTCCCAGGTAGTAAGACTTTCTTGAAGACTTCCCTCCATCGCCTGAGATGTATGGTCCCTGCTAGTTTGCAGCCTCTACTTCCTGTTTACGCGTAATATCAATGTCTGATGAAATCACGCTTTGCATAGCCTGGTGGATTTGCTCCAAACCAGTAAATGAAAACAAGGCTAATTTTTTTTTGCGATGTTTTAAAAGTTTGTCAAAAAATTTGCTTTACAATTGGATGGAAACATGGCAACTGGCGAACTCCTGAAGAGGGAGCAGATTAAAGAAAAAGAAGCAGAAGTGTTTTAAAACAATGGAAATCGTCATGGGACAAATTCAACAAAAGGCGATTCACTTCCAAATCAGGAAATGTATCACATAAAATGTGATTTTGCAACATCATCCATATCAAACAAAGCAAAAAAAAAAAAAAAAAAAAAAGAACTTTTGAACCGTTTTGAGTTTGACCTTTTATTAAAAACAGCCGTGTCGAAAGCAGCAGAGGGGAGTTCACAGCATCTGCATTCCCAGGGCTCTGTTCAGTCATGTGGTCATTCCTCACGTCCAGAATCAGAATACAAAACAACAAACAACTCATGTTTGTCCCAATCTCATAATTTATTTAAATATAGTTCATTTTTAAATATATATATATATATAGAACTTTCATATACATGAATACTAGCCACAGGCTGATTCTTCCTATGCTTGCATTTACAGTATGTACATGATACTCCTGGTTTATTGGATCATGGTCTGTGTTTGATGGAGCCTCTTCAACGGCTCGTAGGTTTTAYCATCATGTACTCGAGGTTAGTCCGTCCACAGGATGGCTGTGACTGAAAAAAACAAAGGACCACTTGTGTTTTGTGTTGCACAAAGGTGCAGAAAAATGTTCATTTAATAATTTCACTCTTAAAACAAGTGGATGACTCAGTGTCRTCGTCTGTGAGAACCTTTAGTGCAGCAGAAAGGTCAGAGTCGGCCCRAAACACTCAAACGGGGCAAATGTATCATAACAGGCAGGCCGTTCTAAGGGTTGSCAACATCTTTTTGAATTCCAGCAGAGAAATAAGGCCGTTTGATGCCTCTCCTTTCTCCATTTTTGACTTTCACCATCTTTGTCCTGGTCTGGATGTTTGTTGCCTCCCATGGGGTGTGACGGCTGACCTTCAAGGCCCAGCCGAAGTAGTGATTGGCAGCAGAGAGGAAGGCCTGAGTGGAGGACTAAACTGTCCTCAGTATCAATCAGGCTGGTCTGATGTCGGCTCCACTCTAACTGTCCAAGGCACTTTTTACTTAAAGCAACTTCTTCTTCTTCTTCTTCTGGAGTACTTGTGTTTGGCTTCAACCTGCCATGAATAAAAGAGAGGGAGGGATAAATTCAGCACAGCATCTAACTTGGCAAAGCCAGAAAGAATCACAAATGATCAATCAAAAAGAGCTTGATTTGCAACAGCGTGCCACAGCAAGCAGACCCCCACCAGGAACAAATAGCTTGAGTGTTTCCTGAGCTGTGGGAGCTGAGCTGTGAAGCAAACCCAGCTGAGTTTGAGAGTCTGGATCAGTTTTGATCATAGACCGATGCAACTTGAGCGACCGTTTCACAGCACGTTAAAAACCTGCAGAAACGTTATGGTTCAGATGTTGTGGTTGTAGACAGCGGTGGTTTGAATGAACACATTCTCACTCTCGACTCGTCAACATATTGACGCTTTTCCAAAGTTCCCTCTGCGTCTTATTTTGACACGTCGGGCGACCCCCTCGCGTCAGTCTTTGCCGCCCGCGGCCTTTCCGGGTTGCGCCACCAGGGGTCTTTGGGTCGGGGGTCTGAGGTTAACATGAGGGATCAGGATTAATGGTTAATTTTAGATACTGTGGTCAGGGATAGGATGTCTACGGCGAATATTAGGTAATTTTAGGATTTGGAACACGTAGTTGACGTGAATTTCTTACATTTTCTAAAAATGGTTAATTTTAGGTATCAGGGTTAATGGTTAATTTTAGGTACTAGGGTCAGGGACAGGATGCCTAAAGTGAATAAAGGTAATTTTAGGCTTTGGGACGGTAGTTTTTGTGCATTTTCTACACTTTAAGAAATTAYGACAACAGATTCCGCCCCATCTCATCAAAAAATGATGCAAGGGGAGTACCCGACGCGTTAAAATCGGACGCAGAGGGAACTTTGGAAAAGCATCAATATGTGACGACTCGGGGGTGAGAATGGGTTGTTTGAACAGCTGCAGTTTGGTAGAATTAAAGGAGACATGATGCTTTTAAAACTTTCTTTTTCCACATTTAAATCCTTCACTTGGGGTCTATATAAAGTGAAACTGCAATGCTTTGGTGTGAATTCCTCCTTATTGTAACTCCACAAGCCCCCCTTTCACCCCTTTTCTGAGGTGCATCTCAGATCAACTYGTTTTGAGGCTGTCCCTTTAAATYGTAAAGAGTCCAGACCTTATTTATAAGTTTTGYTGCAAATAATTTGGCGCAAAGGTTCAGAAAACATCGCAGAAAAAAAGAGAGAAAACAAACAGGTTGACAAATATGACCCAAACAGAATATAACGATATCTAGGCAGCACCGGGAGAGACTAAATTCAATTTGCACTCCCAGAGAYTCCAAGTAATAAAATGAATTAAACGGCTAAAAAAGTTTTAATTTTCTTTACATGAAGTTGTAACAGTTTGGGTTCAACTTAAACCACTATTAAAAGATTTACTAAAATATTTTTTGTGAAATTTAAAATGAGATTGAGTAAAAGGTTTATGAAAATATTTTTTTATGAACCTTATATATGGTTTTGAAACAAAACTACACACAAATACACAGATTCTTGTTTCTGTCTGAGTAGGAGGAACCTACTGTAAGTATTTTAAGGAGTGGTCACTGATAATCAGGGGATGATGCACCAACACTCAAATTTATGACAAAGGTTTGTTRCCATACAAGTAAACAGTACTGTAAAAAAAAGAGTGCAGTACAAAAAACGTAAATAAAAATCTCTCATATATAAACATTGGTTTTTGCTGTAATTGATTTACGTAAAAATGACAATCTACTTTAAAATTAAAGTTTTCTAACATGTATGTTTTCAGAAATTATCTTTTAAACTCGTTTGTAAGTTTTCTCTAGTGCCAGGAAATCAATGTGTAGTTTGGGGATTCCCCTTTTTAAATYTAGTGCTGGAATTCCAGCTGACATCACGCCAGACTAATAAAAATCTGTTTTTTTCAACCTCTTGTAAATAAAACTAGTTTTTTCCTGGCCAGGTGATATATCACCTAATTTCAACACACTGTGGGCTTTTAAAGTGAAGAAAGTGAAAATAATATTAACTCAAAATTGAAAAAAAAAAAATCCTAACTGGGACTCATTTTGATAGCATGGGTCACATAATAATAATATACATTAATAAAATTTGCATTTCTTGAAGGAATGTACACTCTCCGGCCACTTTATTAGGTACA